GGGGAGGAACTTAGGCTGGTCGTAATGGTAGTATCATAGGTAGTATCATGCATGCCAACTAAGCAATTTTGATGAGGTGGCATAGCATTAAATGAAGAAAGAGAGGATGTAGGATCATATCATGATACCGTATCATAATAAATTATATGCTACTTTGTGTCATGCATGGCAATAAATAGAGTACTACATGATACTAATATATGATACTATGCATTAGGGAGGTAGTATCACACACTAGTAACATATGCATGATACTAGTATATGATACTCCCCATTACAATCAGCCTTAGGAGTAACATCACACACTCCAATACAACTTTGCTTATGTGGCACATATTTAATGAAGAGAGAGGTGCTTGTGGTAACTAGCTAAGTTACCAGAACATCACACACTCCAAGAAACAATGAGTCTATAACCTAATAAATACATTGTTGCATGACACTACATAGATGTTCCTACCCACTATGGAGGTAGTAACATAGTCTAGGGAAGTGTGTAAGTTACTAGCTTATGTTCTTGCCCATTATGACCAGCCTTAGCGATATACACCTGGGATACAGCCGGGAAATACGCGGGGAGGCTCTGATCGCGAGGTGCACGGACAAGCGTGATAACAAGTCCATCTGAGCCCGAGATCAGAAACGAATTTTCGCCACTCTCCTCCTATGGCTCCTTGGTACGGGACTCCTTCCGCCGATCGATCAGCCTCGGTGGACCCGTCTGCCTTTGTTTTAGTGGTGCACTCCTCGCTGGCCATATGCCTCACCTCGCCGCTAGGTTTGGGGGATTTCGCCCAAGGATACACTTGTTGGAACAACCAGACGGCGGCGGTGGACTCAATGTGTCTCGGTCCTTAGAGCATCTCTAGCCGTTCAGCCCCACAGGGCGCCAAAAAAGAGCGGCCTGGGGGCGAACCAACGCTAGGTTGGCCCCTAGGGCGACTTAGCTCCCAGCCACGCCTCCAGGCGCCGCCTCCCAGCCGCGGCAAATTCAAACATAGTGTTTTCCGCTCATAAAATAGATGCCACAAATCCAGCGATCACGCGGTTACAAGTTCGGCGTACAAAAAACAGAAAGGACGCGCGTGCGCATCAGACAGTGAGGTCGGCCTCTGGTGTCGGCGTGCGCGGGCTTGGCGGGGTCTCTGCGCTGGACGGCGTTGACATGGCTTCTGTGTTGCGGGTGTTCTTGGCGGCCTCATCAGTCGGGCTTGGCGGCGGCGGCATGGGCGGCGGCGTGGCGGCGTCATCGATGGAAGCTGGTTCAGGATGAGGCCTCGCTCCGCCAAGTACCACGCCTTGACCGCCTCGTTGGTGCTCTGGAACATGTCCGCCCCGCCCAGCAGGAAAGCCAGGTCGGTGTTTCTCTTCTTCGCGGCGACGTTGGTTTGGAGTAGGTCGAGCTTGATGGCGCTGCTCGATATCAACACCGACCACCACGCCTCGGTCTTCTCTTCATGAAGGACGGCCCGGGCCTGTGCGTCGGTGATACAGTGCTCGATGGACTCCTGTACTCGAGTGGTCGCCGCGTCGGTGTGTTTCCCCTTCTTGACACATTTGTTGCCGTCCGGCCGCCTGTCTGACGCGCACGGAGTCAGCGCGTCCGGCTTGTAGGTCTCCTTGGCCTTGTCGAGGGTGCGCCGGACTTCTGCCCACTTCTCGCATTTGTCGATGCGCTTGTAGACGTGGAGGTACTTGAATTCGGCGTCGCTGTTGCCCTGCCGATACATGGCAAACGTGCGCAGCAACTGTGCGGAGGAACAAACAATTAGCGCGCGCACATGGCGAAGAGAGGCAGGAGACCGGCGTGCCATACCTGATCCTCAACGCTGGCGCCACTCTCCGGGCGAGCCGCGACCTCCTCGACGATCCCATGCCATTTGTTGCACGCCCCTGGATACGCCCCCAATGGTTCGCCATCGCCTTCGACCCGTGCTGCATGTAGACGCCTTTGAAGTAGGGGTCGACGAGCTTGCGCTCGTCGAACTCGGCCTTGATGCGCTCCCAGTACGTCTCGATGCTCTTGTTCGTGCCGGTGGTCGGGTCGAGGCAGACGACTTTCCATGCTTCGGCGAGGCATTCCTCCTCCTTGGACTCCCACTTGATGCGCGGCTCGCCGGACCTGGCCGCCCGCTTCTTCTTCTTGCTCCTCCTCGCCGGAACAGTTGACGGCTCCTCCTCCTCCTCTCCGTCCTCCTCCTCCTGCTTCTGCTGCTCCTCCTCGCCGTAGACATAGCCGAGCTCGCCTTCCATGCTGCCGCTCAGATCCACGGTGTCGTCCGAGGTGGCGAACTCGGGAGACGCGGCGGCCGTGGCCGAGCCTGTCGCGATGATGTCATCCATGTCGGCCTCGGTCTCGTCGGTGTCGCCGAGGTGCGAGAAGGGCAGCGCGCCACGACGGAGAGGGGGAGTTGGGGAGGACACGTAGGCAGGCGGCGAGTAGTTGTATGGAGGGTACTGCATGCCGGTGAAGGCGGGTGAGGGCGTCCGCTGGGCCGGGTGTCCATGGGGGAAGGTGACGTTGGGATTGAACCCACCGTGCGCGTCCCCGTCGGCGTAGCCCGGTGAGGGCGTGCATCCCCATGGCTGCGGCGACGGAGAACCAACGCCTTGCTGGCCCCAGGGCGCGTACTGGGCGTGGTTACCGGGTGGGTTCATCATCCCCGCGCGAGTCGCGTCGGCCTCGGCTTGGTCCGCCGAAGCCGCCGAAGCCGCACGCGCCGTGTTGTCACGGGCCTTCTTGGCGATCGCCCGGTTCCGCCGGTCGGCGGTGACCGCCTCTCGTCGCTGAACTTCCACCCTCCACTCGGTGTTCGTCATGCTCGGTGGCTTGGACGGCGGCGCCCTTGGCTTCCTCTGCTTTGGCTGGGCGACGGGGGCGGTCGCGGTTGCCGCAGCGCGGGGGGTGACGTACTTCTTCGGTGGCATGGCGACGGAGATGGGCGGGAGGAATGGAGAGAATGGGAGGGAAGTGGGGGAAAAGTGGGATGAAACGGCGGGAAGAGGCGCTCGACTCGTCGACAGGGCGAACCCACGCGATCTTTCGCTTGTGCCGGCGCCCCAGGCGCCCTGGGGGCGCCGACACAGTTTCGACCCGAGCCGGCGAAAAACGGGCTTCTGGAGGCGCGACTGGGCTTTTCTTCGGCGTCGACGCGACAAAAACGCATAGGGATGGCCTGTTGGGGACGCGGCTGGAGATGCTTTTACATATAGTCTGGCGAAGGGCGGCGGTTTTATATTTATTTATGTATTTGTGTGTTTTAGAGGGCTTCATTGCCAGCAAAGCTCCACATATTATCTTATCTGAAGCACCTGAGACTGGAGTTGGCTTTTTTTGGTGCTCCGAGAAGCAAGAGTGATGTCCACGATTTTGCCTGCCTTCTAATTGCTGCTCCTTTCCTGGAAAAGCTGGAATTTCATGTAAGTCTGCATTTCAAGTCATGAAATGTAATTCCTTTGTTCCATACTGTAAGAAACGTCTTATATTGTGGAACGGAGGGAGTATTTTGGAAAATGTTTGGCTCGTTCCATGAAAATAGAGGGGAAAAGGTATTAAAAATGTACATTTGTAGATGAAGTCATGAACCAACCATTAGCAAATTGAGTACGTACTGTTTCTGGCCTATCACCAGTTATACTTGTGGAATTAACAGGGCGCTATTATATAGCAGTAATCCGGTGCCTTTACTGACGATGCTTGCAAAGTTCTTCACCTCACAAAGTCTTGTCTTGTCTTGTGTTTTAAAACTGTTGTATTTTATGGATTATCACTAAGCTTAGTGACGCTGCGTAAAAAGTAGTCACATTCTTCTTTTTCTTTTACAGATGGTGCTGCGCTGCGAGCATCCAAGGTACACCATGTAGGAAATACTTATGTGTGGCTTGCAACATTTTACATATATACTACATAGTTCCTGGAATATGTTTACCTTGATATGGAATTTACCGATGGACTTGAATATTGCTTGGAATACATGAATGGAATATAGTTCATGGAAGCCGGTACATATATGCTGGAAACAGTATTTATTAATGCTGGAATATTTATTGTACTAAATGTATATTTGCCCGGGCACAGCATATTATGGAAAGCCAGGTTGTTCGTGGTTTTGGCTCCATGAATTGGTAAAGCCTGTGAATTTGAATTATAATTCAAATTCAGAGTGCGACTCACACGTACGTGCTTGTGGGACAGTTTGCAGATGAAACTCCTTGATGGTTACTAATGATCGTGGTTGGTTAAGTTAACCTGGAGTCTTCGTTTAAACAGATTTTATCTGGACATTTATCTGCAGTTTATACAGTTTGAAATTAACTGGAATAGCACTATATAAAGGTCCCTAACCCCTAGCCTCAATGGATCATTGTGAGCGGAACCACGGAAAAGGATCGAGGAATAGGGGTTAGACCGTGTGCGTATATTTCTTACATTGGCACCAGAGCCGATTAAGGGTTTGATGATTTGTTTAATCGTCGGATCAATTACGATCTGGACTCCGCTGCGTACTCTGCTTATCCTTTACAAAAAGAAAAGGGAAAGAGGGAGGCCCGTACGTACAAGTCAACCTAGATTAGATCGCTCGATTCCTCTGGTCCAGCGCCGCCGCTTTGCTCGATTCCGCTCGCCCAGCGCCGCCGCTTCGCCCGACCTCCACCAAATCCACGCCGTCGCCTCCAGGCCAAGCCCCAGCTGCGCCTCCGCCTCCACCTCCCCATCCACTTCGGGCCGAGCCTGCCACCGCCCGTGAGCGGCTCCTCCCCGACGTTCGCGCCGCCCCTCATCAATTTTCGCCCCGCTCCCGCCGCGCCCGTCGACTTCGTTCCCTGCGCCTCCATAGCGCTCCTTCGAAGGAAGCGGATACATCAATCATCGCCCCGACCAACTCTCGCCGGCCTGCTTCGCGTACAGCGGCAAGGACCTACATCGACAACTGTCGGCCTCGACGACAGGAACTTGAAGGTAACAGAGGAAGCAACTAATCGTTGGATATTGAATTTCAATGGCTTCCAATGGTGTCTTCGCTGAATTACTCCGTGCCTACAAACTTGATGGAACAAACTACACGGTTTGGAAAAGGAAGATTATGTTCTTGCTTACGGCTGAGAATATAGATTATGTTTCTGAGACCGGGGCGCCTAATGAGCCAGCAGAGGATGCTACAGATGAAGACAAACAGGAATACAATGATGAACTGAAGCAATGGACCAAGGACAACAAGACTGCCAGAGTTTATATTCTTGGCTCGATGACTGATTCGTTGGCTGCGGAATATGAGTCGGATAAAACGGCCTGCGGAATAATGCTCAGGCTGGAACAAGATTTTGGAGAAGTTTCCCTTGTGAAGGTGCTTAGCCTTGTGAATAAATTTCTGACATCAAAGATGGGTGATAAAACAGTCAATGAACACTTCAACAAGCTCTGTGTCTTGGCGGAAGAGTTAAAAACTGCTGGCTATCCGTTCCAGGAGGAAGTCCAAGTCATGGTTGTCCTGAACTCTTTACCACCATCATGGGAACAATTCAAGATTTCTTTTTGTCATTCAGAGCGCACACTCAATATGAGGAACCTGAGGCAACACTTGCTGATGGAGGAGGACCGCAGGCTCAACTCAGGAAAAGATAAAGCTTTTTATCAGCCAGAACTTCACCTTGGTGAGTACAAGAATAGTGGGAATCGGAGGAACTGGAATAAGAAAGGAGGACCAGACCTAAGGGACAAGATCAATTACAAACGTGATAGGGATCAAAGAAACTACAGAGATGACAGGAGGGACAGGGGGCAAAGCAACAACAACAACTCTTTTCACAAGATTGACAAGAGGAACTACAAGTGCCATAATTGTGGTAATACAGGCCACTTCAGGTCAGAATGCACCAAGAAGAGGAAGCCGAATAGCGAAAGGAATAATTTTCACAAGGATGACAGCCGCAAGGGGAATCAATCCCCTGAAGGTATTACCGATGTTTATGTTTGCACTGAATCCTTATTTACTACTACTTTTCAGAATAGTTGGGTAGTAGATTCTGGTGCAACTTCACACATAGCTAGAGAACTTAGCTCCTTTGCCACACTCAAAACAATTCCAAAAGGAACAAGACATGTCTATTTAGGAACTCAAGCTAAAGCAGACATACTAGAAATTGGAAACTATGTGCTTAAACTCCCTGATGGAGGAAACTTAGTGTTGGAAAATGCACTTTATTCACCCAATATGAGAAGGAATCTTGTTTCAGTGGCCAAGCTAGAGTCAATTGGATATAAAATTGTCTTTGCCGACGGGAAGGTGAAGATTATCTTAAATGGAAGATTAGTACATTCAGGCGATAGACATGATGGTCTCTATTTTCTAAATGACATCATGGAAAATAATTGCTTAGTAGGCGAAGATAACTCCGTTGTGAGGAATATAAATGGACACAATAATTGTTCTGAATCTTACTTGTGGCATTTGCGACTTGGACATATATCCAAGAACAGGATTAAGAGACTTATTAGTTCTGGAATTTTGAACTTTAAGTGGGAGGATTATGGTATTTGTGAAGCATGTATTATGGGTAAAATGACTAGGTCGCCTTTTCCCAAAGCAAGTAGATCAACAGAACAGCTTGCCATCGTTCACTCTGACATTTGTGGGGAATTTTCCACACCCACTTTGGGAGGGTAGAAAATCTACTTTATCACTTTCATAGATGACTATTCAAGATACGGTTATGTGTATTTGCTTAAACACAAATCGGAAGGGTTTGATGCTTTTAAAGTGTTCAAAGCGGAAGTGGAAAATCAGCTAAACAAGAAAATTAAAATACTTAGAACTGACCGTGGTGGTGAATACACGTCAGGAATACTAGATGATTTCTGCAAAGAACATGGCATTATTCATCACTATACCTTGCCATATACTCCACAACAGAATGGAGTGGCGGAAAGAAGGAATAGGACTTTAATGGATATGGTTAGGTCTATGATGGCTTATTCTGACTTGCCATTGTCTTTTTGGGGAGAGGCACTTCACACTGCTGTATATTTATTGAATCACTCACCTTCTAAAGCTGTAACGGTAACACCCTATGAGCTTTGGAAGGGAAGGAAGCCCTCACTTCGCCATTTGGCGGTTTGGGGTGTAATGCTCAAATAAGGATACCTAGCCAGTTGCGCACCAAACTACAATCTAAAAGTACCCCAGGAATTTTTATTGGTTATGCATCAGGTTCTAATGGTTACCGTTTTTGGGATCCTCAAAGAAAGAAATTGATTGAAAGTGGAGATGCAGTTTTTCTTGATCAGGATACACCTCGCCGTGCTAAACGAGCTAGGGTGGAATTATTAGTAGAACCTGAAGATATCTCTTTACCTGAAACTGAACCTCTAGTTCAGGAAAATAATGATGCTAGTCAGTCTACTAACTCTATTTCGAATAGCATGCCTAGGAGAAGTGGGAGGATTACACAACCACCTGCATATTTAGATGAGTATTTTGTTTTTCTGGGGGAAGTGCACTCTAAAATTCAGAACTTAGAGGAAGAACCAAAATCATTCAAAGCTGCATTGGCAAGTCCTGAATCAAATCTTTGGATGGAAGCCATGCAGGAAGAATTAAACTCTATGAGGAAAAACAATGTTTGGGAATTAGTTGAATTACCAAACAATCGAAAGTCTATTGGTTCTAAATGGATTTTTAAAAGGAAACTGAATGCGACTGGTCAAGTGGATAAATATAAAGCAAGGCTCGTTGCTAAAGGATTTACACAAATGGAAGGAGTTGATTTTGTAGAAACCTTTTCTCCCGTTGCTAAATTTACCTCTATACGGATCATTAGTGCATTAACCGCTTATTATGATCTGGAATTGCATCAAATGGATGTTAAAACAGCATTCTTAAATGGAATGTTGGAAGAAGAAATATACATGAACCAACCTGAAGGTTTTGTGGAAAGGGGGAATGAAGGGAAGGTTTGTAAATTAAACAAGTCCATATATGGTCTTAAACAAGCCTCACGCCAGTGGTATATTTTTTTCGATAATGCAATCACGTCATATGGTTTTTCAATGACGGAAGGCGACCATTGTATCTATTTTAAGATTATGGGAAATAAATTTGTATTGTTATCTCTTTATGTTGATGATATTCTCATTGCTTCAAATGATAAATCTACACTGATGGAAGTTAAAACTTGGTTATCCTCTAAATTTGACATGAAGGATATGGGGGAAGCTTCCTATGTTCTGGGAGTGGAAATACGTAGAGATAGAAGGAAGAGAATGTTGGGTTTGTCTCAAAAGGCATATCTCAATAATGTACTTCAGAGATTCTCTATGGAAAATTGCAAGCCTGTTAAAGTACCTATTCTTAGGGGAACTAAACTTAGTGAGGAAATGTGTGCTAAAACTCCTGAGGAAAGGAAACAAATGAGCAATATTCCTTATTCATCTGCATTGGGTTCTTTAATGTATGCTATGCTATTTACAAGACCTGATATTTGCCATGCCGTGGGTTTGTTGAGTAGATATCAAGTGAACCCTGGACCTGAGCATTGGAAACAGATTAGGAACACTTTGCGTTATGTCAAAGGAACTATGGACTATTTTCTGTGTTTTAATGGACACAATCTTCAGCTACAGGGGTTTACTGATGCTGATTGGCAAGGGGATCTTGATGACCGGAAATCAACTTCTGGTTATCTGTTTACACTAGCAGGAGGAGCTATTTCTTGGAGTAGCAAGAAGCAAGATTCTGTAGCACTTTCATCTATGGAGGCTGAATATATTGCAGCGTCGGAAGCTGTGAAAGAAGGTGTATGGTTAAAGGGGTTTCTTGCGTCTCTCGTGGTGGTGGAAAGCGCTTCATATCCTGTTACTATTTTCTGTGATAACCAGGCGGCAATCAAGGTCTCAAAGGATCCCAAATTTCATAGCAAAACCAAACATATTGAGGGAAGATATCACTACATTCGTGACGTCGTTAATAGATTAAAGACAGTTCGTTTAGATTATTTACCTAGTGTGGACATGGTTGCTGATCCACTGACTAAACCTCTTAGTCAGGAAGTATTTTGTAAACATGTTTGCAACATGGGTCTTCGTTTTTGGAATTAGAATGTTTTAGCCAAGTGGGAGATGTAGGAAATACTTATGTGTGGCTTGCAACATTTTACATATATACTACATAGTTCCTGGAATATGTTTACCTTGATATGGAATTTACCGATGGACTTGAATATTGCTTGGAATACATGAATGGAATATAGTTCATGGAAGCCGGTACATATATGCTGGAAACAGTATTTATTAATGCTGGAATATTTATTGTACTAAATGTATATTTGCCCGGGCACAGCATATTATGGAAAGCCAGGTTGTTCGTGGTTTTGGCTCCATGAATTGGTAAAGCCTGTGAATTTGAATTATAATTCAAATTCAGCGTGCGACTCACACGTACGTGCTTGTGGGACAGTTTGCAGATGAAACTCCTTGATGGTTACTAATGATCGTGGTTGGTTAAGTTAACCTGGAGTCTTCGTTTAAACAGATTTTATCTGGACATTTATCTGCAGTTTATACAGTTTGAAATTAACTGGAATAGCACTATATAAAGGTCCCTAACTTCTAGCCTCAATGGATCATTGTGAGCGGAACCACGGAAAAGGATCGAGGAATAGGGGTTAGACCGTGTGCGTATATTTCTTACACACCACCGATCAGGGAGACCTACGGAGCCTTCCCTCCGAGCCTCACTTCCGCCTCAGGCTGGTCGAAATCACAGGGTTTTACGGCTGGAAGGGTCGGCTGGAGCAGGCGCTTCACATCCTGAGGGACTCTGTCGCGCTCGAGGCGATGAAGATAGATCCGATCCCAGCCCCTGCAGTAGTTGTTGGTTCCGATTTCAGGCTGCTGGGATGTACGGGGTTCACTTCCTTTTCGGCGGGATGGCTACGACGTCGCCCTTGAGTTCCTCTGCGGCGCCGACCATCGCAATGTTGTTCACGTCGCAGAACCTTGAGCTCAAGGAAGCCCTGGAGAAAAATGTATCTCTCTCTCACATACACGCACGCCGCAACTTCCTCTGGACGAGGCGGCCGAATTAAGCCATATTTTGATGGATCGGCAGCGTGGTGCCATGCTAGCAGGCAAGATGGCGAGCAGACATATATCATTCAAGGAAGACAAGATAAGGCATGGCATGGCATGGGTTGCCACTTGCTGTTGATAATGAGGTGTGCGCCCTGTTCACTGGATCCACCACCATTCATATCTGGCATGATAGAGTTGAGGGCAATGCGCCCATGATGATTTTCCTGCAAATACAGCGCACGATATGTGCCCATGATGAATAATTTGTAGGGACCGAACTAATCCGGCTGATGGGACTGGCTATTCCGGCTCATACTTAGTTAATTCTGCTCCTTCTCACCGTAGCTAATGTACTCCACACATGTTCACGTCCAAGAGGCGTTCATGTATCACACGTATCGTATGTACCCCATCATTTTGGCATCGACAACTCGCTTTCTTCTTGTCGACTAAACGCTACTTGCACATCTGAAACACAGACAGATTCTCCCCGGCCTTCTGTACTTAGGTTTCTGGGCTAGTCCCCATGCATACTGCAAAGTCTTTACAGGCAATATTTGGGAAGGGGAATGGGAGTTTATAGTAGAGAGTTGTATTGAGACTAGTCAATGTGTACGTGCAATGCACATTAATTTGAAAGTATATTAAGTGTATGCAGATATTAAGTAGGATATTATTTGCGTGTTATTACGTGATTAGCACTATATTTGGCATGAAATTAATTACACGCTAAACGTGTTGAGCTCTCGAGATTGAAGCAGTATAGGTCGTTGGATTGAAATGATCTAATGGCCGAGATTAATTGGATCGGCCCATGTGGGTCTTTTTATATTGGTATAGATATAGATTAGACATGGGATGAGACGTTTTATTCTCAATCCTCTGTTTGACACATAATTCGAAGAAATTGTATTTCTTTGTTTGTTTTATGGGAATTGATGAGGGACTAGACATGAAAAGTTAACATAAGTTATAATTTAGAGTTAAGATTGACTCACTAAAACAATTTTCTTTCAATTCCCATCCCCTCCCCTGTTAATAAAACGGTGCAGCTTATTGTGAGAGAACAGGGGAAGGTGGATGGGGTTGTATAGCTAGAGATTCAGAGGGAGATGTTTTGTTTGCTGCAGCCGGGAAATTGGAAGGACTTGCAGAGGCTATTCATGCGGAAGCGTTAGCATTGACGAAGGCTGTTTCACTTGATTGCCTCGCGCTCAAGCAGGCTGTGGTGTCTACTTCTCTTGACAGAGCTAGTCTGGGGGTTCTTTCCCGTGAGATTAAGTATCTATTGCAGTTGGGTTTCTTAGAAACCAGAGTGGAGTTTTGTCCACGTATGTGTAATGAACCGGGCTCACAAGCTGGCCAGTTTGGGTGCACGGTGTTTAGGTGAGAACCACCAAGTGTGGACCTCCAATTTCCCCTCTAACGTAATCGGTGCTGTGGCCGGCGATTTATCCGCGACCACTAGCTAATGGAATGCTTGGTGTTCCTCATCAAAAAAATAATAATTCTCATGCCTATTTCCTTTCGAAGTTCCAAATCCTATGAACCAAACACGCTATTAAAGCATGGTTAATAATACAGTCAACGGTGGGCTATAAGAAGTTGTCATGTCATCTACAACCAATCTCTTAGCCAGCATGTATAATAGTAAGTTTTAAATATGTACTAGTTTATCAATAGTTGACCCACTTTACATCCTCACAACGTGTCTTGGGTCTCGTGTTGTAGCTGGCTACTAACTAAGAGCCCGTTTTTTTTTCTCTTTCCTCCAACTAAGCATAAATATATTATTAGTATTCCTTATAGCCTGCTTATGTTACCCTATTGTACTTGCTCTTAGAGAAAAGTATATTTTTTGTCCCTTGACTTTTGGTGGAGTCTAGATTTGGTTCCTCAATTTTAAAATCAGGCAACTTGCACCCCCCAACTACCGAAATCGGACAAGATTCGTCCCTAGACTCTATTTTGACCGGTTTTGCTACTGACTCAAATCCCTTTATTTTTTCCAAACCCACCTACTTTTTTCATGTTTACGTTTTTTTTCTTAAATTCATGTATTTTTTCAAATCCAAGCATACCTTTTCCAAATCGACGTACTTTCATCAAGTTCGCGTAATTTTTTCAAATTCACATACTTTCATCCAAATCCGCATAGTACTTTTGGAAAAGAAATATGAATTTAAATAAGTACGTGAACTAGAATAAAAGTATGCGAATTTGGAAAAAATATGCGAACTTAAAAAATGTATGCAGTTTTGTAGAAAATATGTGAATTTCAAGAAAGTACACGAACTAGAATAAAAGTACGTGAAATTAAAAATATATATATGAACTTGAAAAATGCATGCGGTTTTGTAGAAAAATACGTGAATTTCAGAAAAGTAGGCGAACATGAAAACATTACACGAATATTGAAAAATACGCGAACCTGGGAAAGGTACATGGATTTTAGAAGTACATGAATTTTTGAAAAGTTCATGGATTTGAAACAGTACAAAGAGTTGAAAAAATTACACGAATTTGAAATAATTGCACAAACTGGAAAAAGTACATGAATTCGAGAAAGGTTTATAGATATAAAAAAACAATTTTGAATAAAGTACACGGATTTGGAAGAGTAAATATATATGAAAAATGTACGTGAATTTCAAAAAAAGGTTCATTGATTTGAAAAAAAAACTACACGGATTTGAGTCAGCACCGGTCAAAAACGGGGCGAGTCAGCACCAAAACCGGTTAAAACCAAGACCAGGGATGAATCTTGTCCGTTTTCAATAGTTGAGAATGCAAGTTGTCCGGTTTTAAAGTTAAGGAACCAAATTTAGACTTGGCCAAGAGTTAAGGGATGAAATGTATACTTTCTCAAGTCTTTAACATAGCAGACGGTCCGTTGGATCTCCAATCCGATGGCCCAGGTGCTCCTGAAGCATGGGGCATATAAGCTCTCGGAGCACCGCATCGCCAGCCACCTCAAACAGTCAAACTTCTTGGCCTACTCCGCCACCAGAAACCACATCATGGAGCTCATCATCCTTGAGATCAAGAAGGGATTGAGTGGACCGTGACCAAGAAAACACACGTCGATCGAGGGCCTCACACGTACCCTTTATTTTTCTTTCTCATTGTCAATTCTCTCCCCACCCTGGAATATACTAAGTTGGGTTCAAATAGTTGCATGGCTTTTCCATTTCTTATCCACGCCATGCGTACAAAGACAATTACCATATGTAAACATATCTATTTATAGAGATCCCTATGTTTTATGATACATTTCGTGAAAAGTAATGACCCACATCACATAACCACCTGCACAAAATCGCATAAAACCATATGTTTTACACCCTGCCAAAACATAAAAACTTGGCATGTGGCATTCAATAAAATCAGCAAATACAATTACTCAAAAAATGCTTGCACTTGTATTTTGTGGAATCTTTCAAATCCATGGGTATATTTAACCAAAAACCATCCAAACAATAGCTGTCCATGGAAAACACCACTTGTGATGTAAAAAAAAATAAAGAAAGGAAAAATACCACTTGTGCAAATAAAGAAGCCAATTGCCAATTTTCCTGGAACCTTCCTTCCTGGCGGCTCCAAACTCCTCTCCTCTCCAGCGCAAACATCCCTCTCCCCCGCTCCCTTTCCTCTTCTACTTCTTGGCCGGACGGACGGACACCCACCCACCCACCCGAGCCAGGTACCCATCCATCCGACCATTCTTATTTATTCGCGTCCGCGAGATCGAAATCCGCTAGCTTTCACCGGAATCTGTGAGTGTTTTCTCTCTCTCCATCGATTTTGTGTGTTCCTCATGGAGTCCAGCCGGCGCAGATTGGTATAATCTGTGACGGAATAGAGGGTGGGCGGGCGAAATTCTCGCATTCTTCCGCCCGATTCGGGTGTAGGATTCTCGAAATTGGTCCTGTTCAAGCAAATGCACCGGAGGGGTGGGTGTGGGTGTGGGGGGGTGTTCATTTATCTTGTGTACGCCTCTAGGGTGTGGAGCAATCTGGTACTATGACGCAGTTTCTAGGTAAGATGATTCGTATTGAAGGCCCCCGATTATTTGCTCACGGAGGGGAAAAAACTGAATGTCATGCCGCCGTTAGGAAATTAGGATGTTTTCGTTGGCAGTGAAGATATGGGGACACGGGCGGCATGATGCCGTGATTTCACAACCTGTACTTGAGAAGAAATGCATTGTCTAGCTTGCTCACCAGTCGGAGTATGGTCCGGCATAGATCCTGTGTGGTGTTTGATTGAATATTACTCCCTCCGTCCGGAATCGGACGCTCAAACGGATGTATCTAGACGTATTTCAGTGCTAGATACATCCGGTTTGAGCGTCAACTGATTCAGGACGGAGGAAGTGTGTGCTTGTATGAATGCTTGCAATTTCAGATGATTTTCTTTTTAGGACCTGGGTTACTGTTTCGATCGGCTGACACTTTGCTCATGTTCAGATTGTCCTGCAAAAATACTGCATTTTATGATCGGAGAACTTGTGGGGAGCTCCTAGAAGAAGAGCCAAGTTGATCCTGCAAAATTGGATAGCTGGTCCGGCAGGGCTGGCTTCAGAAGATCAGCCACGGCTCTAAGGAAAGCAACCCGTGTTACACTAAGAAGGGGAAGACAATGTGTCCATCGCTTTCCTAAGTTTCTGCTTGCATCGCCTTCTTTCCACGGTGGCCGTGGTGCCCTCCCATCTGCAGGGGGGCATCCTTCTGATCTCACCTACCTTGCTGGTGGTGGTGCTGCTGCACAAGTCTGAAGTAGGCCTTTAGCATTATAGTTAGTTCAGTTAGTAGTCCATAATAATAAGAATTGTAAGTATGGTGTCAGCCACCAAACTAGAAGGTGGATATTGTTTTCACAGCAAGAACTCTCCTCTGGATCAACCTGAAGGTAAACAAAAATGCTTTGAACTTCCAAATGTTTGTCTCATTTAGAAATGACTGTATAATATTCTTTAATCCTATAATCATGAATTTCTTCTTTGGCCTGTCTAAAACCATAATTGTCCTATACACTGTTCTGGCACCAAAAACGTTATCCTCTACTATTTTCTGGCACCAAAAACAAAACCAAAAAGGATGAGCTAGTGTATGTAAACTTATCCTTTTGCTTTTCCACACATTTGAACTCTCTGCCGAGTTAGATAGCTATGTTATAGTTGAATTAATGATATGCGCCTGCTTGATGCTACAATTGCAGTTTGGAATACTGCAGTATCCCTAGATAATTTTAGGCAAGCACTTTCTTAGTTTCCTTTTACCAAACCTAGCTGTGTACTCGCCTTTAACCCTTTAAAATAACAGCACATGTTCAGTTATATATTATTGTGGCATTGTAATATTCATACATTTCTCTTTGATATTCAGGTGTGAAGATACATCTTTACCGTCTTGGTATAGAACAGCGTGAACACGATGCCCTCAAAAGCTTTGCATATGCTGGTCAAGGCAGCCCAAGTTTACTTGATACACTCATTCTTTCTCAGGTTTGTATTACCTGAGAGTTCACACAAACTTTATGAGTTCTCATGGCACCATTTTTTATAGATGATTTTTTTTGTAACAGTGGGAGAACTTTGCCCAGAAGGGCCACATGGGATATGATGTTACTGCTTGTGAACTTAAGGTGCTTCTTGGACCCCCCCCCCTCCCCTAATTCTTGTGTCGTAGATAAAAGTAACTTCAAATGTTTGCTTGTGCACGTTGGATTCCGATACCCAATCTAAAAACACAAAGCCAGAGATGTGAAAATATAGGCTTATACATTTTATACTTAACCTATTCCCTTCCCCAGTTTCCACAATCAAACTGCAGAGTGGCATACTAATAC